TGGCAGGCATTACCTCGTGACTATCTTGTGGCTCTGTACTTTTACACTTCCTGGTTTCTGGAATCTGAACTGACTGGTCTCAGTAACTTCTGGCCTGTTCCAGTAACTTATGACCTGTAGCTAAAAGGAGCAGTCTTAGGCCTTTAGTTTTGGGGTGAGAGCATTTTGGTCTTATTTTGGTTCCACAGAGATCTTTGGCAGCAGTTAACTCAAAGCTCACACATGACTGAGCCTGTATGGTAATGAGTGTTCAGAGACGGGTAATACCTGGGGGGCGCTCACCAACCTAAGTCAGAATGCCTGTGTGGCCTGGGCAGGTGTCTCCATGATGGGTAAGGTGACCTGCTGATGTCCCACACAACCTAAGTCAGAAGCTCATTTTTTAGTAAAAGGGGGACCTGTAGGGTCCTGCCCCCATTTTGGGTAACTGTTGCCTTGCTTGCTGACCTTGACTTTGATATCCTCCCTATGCTAATTTCCTGCCAGGTTCCACCCTCCTAAATGATTAAGGGAAGTTCCTTGTCTGTGTATCCTGCATAATGGGCATTAACAGCTTAGATACAAGATTGTAAAACATGAGTTTTATTAAGATAAGGTAAAGAGACAGAGGTGCATAGGCCTGTGGAAAGACATGTGAGTAAAGATGGAGCTGGGAATCATGGCACTGGCTTATAAAGGCTGGGCAGTGCCTGCACACACAAGCCCATGTGGCTAGTCCACGCATGCGTGTAGATCACATGGTTGTGCTGCGTGCTTTATGCAACCACTCAAAGCCATGGGGTCCTGGTCACGTGAGATATTTTGACCCAGAAATGACTAGGCAGAAGTGACTAGGTCCACCAGGCATGTGCAACCATGCCCAATTGTGGGGTCATGTTGTGAATCCATATCAGCCACTCTTTTGGTCAGAAATAAAGTTTCGCCTTATTGAGATACTTTAACTGAAGCGGTGGTCTCCTCCTTTGTGACCGGGAACTCATTTCTAACACCATGAAGTTGTACAGTGTGACTTTGGTGATCACTGCAAGAAATTCCTCAGATTCATTATGCATTTGACTTTGAATGTGGTGGTTGTTGAAAGGTCTCAGGTTTGGGGCCCATGGGAGACACTGAGGCAGACTGTCCTCTGGGGTGGGAGGTTTGTTAGAAGAGATGTTGACTCTATGAATAGACCAACAGCAGCAGGATAGTTCAGACCCCTGAGGCAGAGGGGCCAAGCCCTTCTCAGGGATCTCAGAGGAAAGGGAAGAGCCATATGGTTAGACTGACTCCCCAGCAGGTGGCCAGGGAAGGGAAGGGAATGGGTCTCCTGTTAGAAAGGAAAGACTCTGAGGATGTGGAAGAAGTGAGGGGAGGGACAGGTCAGTGGAGGTAGACCCACTGTGGGTGGGAAAATGTGCCACTACCATAGCCCTCTACCATCCTGGAGTCTGAAAATCCAGATGCTGTAAACTTCCTTGGGGAAGTAGCGATGGCACCTGACATTCTCCAGGAATGTGGCACCAGGGGAATCGGCTAGTGGGTTAGAGAGTCAAGGATGTGTACAGAAGAAAAAGGTGGTTTCTGTGGTCACGGCCTTAGCAGCAATCTAATCTGGATTCTACACGTACATGATCTCGTGTGGGATGGTAATCCACAATTTAAAAAGCTAGGCTCTAAATATTGAAAAGAAAATAAACTAAAAGAACAGAAGGCATAAAAGTAGAAGGAGCTGAACAAACGAGCCTTTGTTGATGAAACTCTTTGAATTTTTGCTTGTGTGTATATTGTACGTGGTGTTGTTCATGTTCACTGTACACTGAGTTTGCCCTACTTACCTTCTCTCTCCCGTTAGTCCCCCTTTCTCTAGAAAGGTCCACTTGTGTTTCCTATCGGTTATACATACATGATTTCATGTGTCTGTTTAAAATCTAGGAACCACAGACGAGAGAAAACATGACTTCTTTTCACGTATTTTCTTGCAAAAGACTAAAAGTTCATTATGACTGAAGAAGTTTCATTTGTGTGTGTGTGTTTATCAGTTTTTTCTTGTCCATCCATCTGTTGCTGAGCAACTAGGTTAGTTTCATAACCTAGGAATTGTGAACAGTACTGCAGTGAACAATTATTCCTGGCCTATATTGATGTGGAGGCCTTGGGTAACCACTCAGGGGTGGGACATCTGGGCTATGTGCCGCTGCTCTGCTTGGGCTGTCTCCCGCCCTAAAGCACTCCATGTGGCACAAAAATGTGGCTCTGTAGTCTCCCCTGACATCAGGTATGGTGATCTCTCCAACAGTGTTCTCTTTGCCCAGGGTTACTTTGTCTATCTAGGGTCTTTGGTGCTTCTGTATGAATTTTAAGATTGTTTGTTCTATTTCTGTGAAGAAATTTTGAGGATTCCATTAATCTTTAGATTGCTTTTGGCAGAATGGCCATTTCCACAATATTAATTATTCTGCTCCATGAGCCCTGATGGCAATGCTGAGCACAGGTTCATACATTTCCTGGCCATTTGACAAACCGGGTTAGTCACAAGCAATAATGAA